ATTATCACAAGCATTCTGTACGACAAGTTCATCATCAACAAACTAAGTTGAATAGAAAGCAATCTAACATAATCAAAGTTCATCATTACAAGTGATTCTGCATGGTAAGCAAACTAAGTTCAGCACACAAGCAAACTAACGATACATAAGCAAAGAACACAAAGAAAATTTGATGATAATTCTAAAAAGACGCTGGCATTGTTGGCTCTTGGCCGGCACCATCTTCTTCTTCACCAGTTAGTGTCTCCCCATCCCCAGCTGCTCCTGGCACGCTTCTTGGGGGGCTCCTCCTTCTCCAGCTTTGCACGGCGAAGCCCGTCCTGGGTGAGGGTGATGTGGTTCCATATCTCGTATGCTATGTAGGCGTCCTTTGCCGCGTACTCGATGTGCCTCATGGACAGAGGCAGGGTGGCCCAACGCTTGTGTTCATCATCGGTGATCTTCTTCTTCATGTTGTTGTAGTAGTCGTCGATGAGCATGCCGGAGACGTCTCCAAGGGATTCCAACTCCTTGGTTGCCTCGGGCACCCTCCACTCCTTCTAGATGTCGATGAAGTTGGCAACCTCCAGATTGACACGCTCTAGCCTAGTTTTGTCGCCGTCGATGGAGAAGCCTGCAAAGGTGTACCTGGGGTCGGCGAGGAAGTTTTCAAAGACGGTGCACCTTTCAGCGGCGCTCAGTTGGAAGAGCAGCACTGGGTGATTCTTGCCAATGGAGAGTTGGCAGAGGGCGGGTTTCTGCGTCGCTTCAGGCTCATTGTTGTACTCGAGAACAATGCCGACGATCTTGTGGCGCTGGAGGTTAAGGTGGCGCTTGTACTATGCGAGGGAGATCGCCATCTGCTTCTTGTTGTTGGTGTGGATGACGTGCAACTTGGTGTTGCCGTGGGCCTCCACGACCTTGTCGCCCTTGTACTTGTCGGTGAACGCCATCGCCGGTAGTAGGGCTTGGTGTTTTTGCGTGGATATGGAGTGATTTGGTAGTAGCGCAATGGATACTTGTGTTGTTGTGGATGAGAAGGCCTTTGGCAGGGGTCTGAATTTAAGGGGAGGGCGCGGGGTGGGATGGCCGCATTTTCAAACATGTTGCTCAATTGGTTGCTGAATTTAAGGGGAGGGCGCGGGGTGGGATGGCCGCAATAATGTCCTCCTACGTGACGGAGGAGGCCATCCACTTGCCTCCCGCTCCGGACATGTTTGGAATGGCTGTACGGAGAAGGTGAGAACTGGGCGCTAGAGCTCGAGCGTGCGAGAATGGATGATCAAGGGAAGGAGAAGGCATGGGTGAAAAAGGAGAATCCCTATCTCCTTATAAAGGCGATAGAAACTATGCGCCTCCCCACTTGCCCGTTAAAATCGCTTATTCCCCAAGCGCCACGATTGATGGCACAGTTGGGTTACCCATGCCCGTATTGATGAGAATCCTGCGATAAGGGGACACGATCTCTGCTTCGACAAGACGTGTCAAGGAAACTGCCTCGCATTATGTGAAGTAGCTGGCTATGAAAAACGGTTCGAATAAAGACCAGACCATGGTGTGACGTCAGGCTATGAAAAGCTGTCAGCAGATTAGGTTTATGGAATATTGTGCTCTCTACGGTGGTATGTGGAATTTGTTTTGCAGAGCCGGACACGATCCTTGTGTTCGATACCTTCTATGGAGTATTCGGAGAAGGAACCCACCTTGCAATGCCGAAGACAATCTGCGCACCGGACTCATCGTCATTGAAGCCTGGTTCAGGGGCTATTGAGGGAGTCCTGGATTAAGGGGTCCTCGGACAGCCGGACTATATACTTTGGCCGGACTGTTGGACTATGAAGATACAAGATTGAAGACTTCGTCATGTGTCCGGATGGGACTCTTTGCGTGGAAGGCAAGCTTGGCAATTCGGATATGTAGATCTCCTTCTTTGTAACCGACTCTGTGTAACCCTCGCCCCCTCTGGTGCCTATATAAACTGGAGGGTTTAGTCCGTAGGACAACAACAATCATAATCATAGGCTAGCTTCTAGGGTTTAGCCTTTATGATCTCATGGTTGATCAACCCTTGTAATACTCATATCATCAAGATCAATCAAGAAGGAGTAGTAGGGTATTACCTCCATCAAGAGGGCCCGAATCTGGGTAAACATCGTGTCCCCTGCCTCTTGTTACCATTAGCATTAGACGCACAGTTCGGGACCCCCTATCCGAGATCCGCCGGTTTTGACACCGACACATATAAACACTTATAGAGTATATGGATCAATAATATCAACTAACATACATAAGCCAGGCCGTTGTACTTTTTTGCTAGAAGAGCATCCTTTTTTAGCAAAGCTAGTACAACATCTTGGCCCTTTCAGATGCATGCCACTTAAGGACCATTTATACTACTATTATTGTTGAATGCACATTTAGTCCGATTGGCATATTTGTAGGTTTGGCACATCAATCAAAATGAAATGTCTCAGAGTCTTATCAATTAATACAGACTTGTGCTAAAAAAAGTTTACAACCCAAAAAAACAAAAAACAATTATTACATGATCTCTAAAACAAATGGTTTGATCGATTATATGAACAAACAACACAAAGGTTATTCAACAATGGAAAGAAGATTTCACCCATGATTTACTAAGTGGGAATTTAATTTCCTTTTTTCCTTCAGGACCTTAACAATGCGGCCAGTCTCAGCTTGCTTAGTTTTGAAATCCACCAAATATTTAATGGTTGTCTTGAGTACTGCTTGTGATTGTGCTGTCTGCTTCCTCAACATGTCAACTTCATCTCTAAGTGCAGAAGTAGAATCTCTTTCTACCAATAGTGTAGCCTCTAGAGCATCAGCAGTTGGCAATTCATGATGCACGATTGGGCCGGTGCCACTGTTGTGGGATGATACAACGTCCATGGGGACCTTGCTCTTTGATCTTGGGCTAACCTGTTTTGCCATTAAAGTTCTGATTGGATTCCAAAAAATTGAAATTAGCAAAACATCTCAACTGGGAGCTATAACAGCAAACTAGTTAAATAAACAAGGAATTAAAGAGTTTCAATTGGATGCTAAAAAGTAGTTATTAACATCATTGTAACCGGTTGCAGCAGCAAGGCAGTTAAATAAACAAGTTTTGCAAAAGGTACCTGTAGTGGCATTGGAGTTTCTCTTGGATCCTGAAAAGTTGAGTAGCCAGTAACATGATTAGAGCAACCGATTGCAGCAGCAAACCTATTACACAAATATATTTTTGAAAATATACCTGCTATGCAATTGGGCTTCCAATTGGATCCTGAAAACTTGAAGTTGGTAAGATGATTACAACAACAAGTTACAGCAGCAAACCAGGTAAACAAGAAGTTTCCGACGACATACCTGTTGTGCAAAGAGAGCTTCAGTTGGATCCTACAAACTTGAATGTTAGCAATCGTAAATAAAGTGTTGCAAGAGCCATAGGAAAATAACGTCAAACTAGTAAAACTAACCAATTTTGGCAATATATTTAATTACACATGAACTAGTAAAACTAACAAGTTCTTGGCAACGTATTAAAGTAACAAGTCGGTACCGTTTACCAGCAACACAGACATCTGTAAATTTCTTTGATGTAAGCAAAATGATTCCAACACACACACACACACACACACACACACACACACACATATATATATATATATATATATATATATATAGGGTGGGTCTATTATGATAACCCCCCTTAAGACCTTATTCTGCACATCCTGCCTTATTCTGCTAACACCCCGATGACCCCGAACCGAACCCCGCTAAAAAGCCAACCGAGCTGCGT